AATTACCCCTTAGGCATCGAGTCTTATGTACCATTTGTGAAGTGTGAAAAGCCGTGTACGCGATGTGACGAGTAGGTACTCGGGCTTATATGTGCAAATTTTATTGAGTTAAAATCTTGGGCATATTGTGTAGTAAATTGGATAATTATTGGTATTTATTTAATCATCTGTTTGCCATTCTTCAATTCACATTTATTGAATTTGTTTTTATATGACGATTTGATGTGAATGTTACCTGTATATTTATGTGAATTTTGTGAGTTTGATGGTTTGATATTCTTGGAATTTAATTTCATTATGGATTTTCCCTCTGTAAATAAATAATTAAATGAACTTAAGAAGATATGTTTACATAATTATTGAGAATTTAGATTAATGGAGGTGTTGCCCTAATTATATTTGAAAGATATTTATTTGGGAAAATTATATTTGAAAGATAGTTATTTGGAAGAATTATATGTGAAAGATATTTATTTAAAAGACTTGATTTAATTGGGTGTACTTGTATTTATTAATTGTTGAGCGATATTAATGGTGATCTTGTTGTCTTGCTATGCATATCACTGGTTGATTTATGTTGCCCTTATTGTTATTTGTTTCCTATTATTTTGTAAATTATATTGCACAGGTTATTAGACTAGTGAGTGTCTTGACTGTATCTCGTCTCTACTCCACTGAGGTTAGTCTTGATACTTACTGGGTACCGACCGTGGTGTACTCATACTACACTTCTGTACATTTTTTTGTGGAGAGCCAGGTATTGGAGATATCAGACTTAGACAGATTTAAAGCGGGGTCGTAAGGATTCAAGGTAGAGCTGCTTGGTCGTCGCTGTCCCTTGGAGTCATTTCATTTCATTGTACTATTAAATTTTAATCAAATAGTATTGTATATTCGGTCCTCGTGATCATTACATGTATTCAGTTAGAGTTTGTGACTCCGTATTACCAATCTTGGGTGGTTGTTGTATTCATACTTGTTTCTGCTGTTAGTTTTGATTATCTATTTAATTAAAAAAAATAGCTTGAAATGTAATTGAAATCGGCTTACCTAGTCTTAGATACTAGGTGCCATCACGACACATGTGGCGGGATTTTGGGCCGTGACACTAAGTTCGGTAGTCTTAGGCAAACCTACAATGATACAAAGGAAGAGGGGTTAGTATAATATAAGGTGGAGACATAATGTTGGCTATTTAGAAAGAGACCTTACCATGAGAACGGGCTCCCCATCGGCCCTTTTAGAGTCCGCGCCATGTGCGCTCAAAGTAGGACAACTAAATACAGATGCCCTCGATCTACTCCTTTAAAGGGTGGACCACATTCGGAATCCGGGCAACACCTGCACAGCTACAAACATGAATGAGAAGATCGAAATAAAAGAAGAATAAATTTTGATGAAGGAGTTGCAATTACGAGACGCATTCCATTTCTCAAGGAATGGAATGTATTCAGGGGAGATCAAATCCTCGGTCTTCACTCGGATGAAGCGTCCCTGCCAGCCACGGTCTCGGTCTTCATCGATACTGGAGTAGGCCTTGCTGGCCCGGCATGTAAGCTTGATCAGCCCCCTCGTAACATCCGGGGATTGTATAATCGAAGCAGGTGGTCGATCGTGAACCGACGAGATTCAGTCTTGTTCAGAAGTAACGGCGAAGAGTCACGATCCTCCATAATGATGGATGGATTCCCCCGAGGCACACTTTATACCTTTTGCAAAAATCCAGGACGATCGGGTCCACCGGACCTAACGTAAAGGGATAAGTTTAAATACTTAAGTACCCTTCCACGTGGGTAGTATCAGCGTCATCGGGCCCGGGGTCTACTACATCCTTGCCTTCCTAATCGTTGTCCTTACGAACTATGGGAAGAACGTCCTCAATCACGAAACATACATATCTCGAGACTCCTTCGCCCCGTTCCTGTTTGCGCAAAGGCTTCTCGACCTTGAAATCGTCTACAATTGAGCAACTCCCGGGGATAAACGCCGACAAATGAGGCTCGTGGGCCGGTTTGTTAGCAGCCGCGACAGGGGAAGCCATTTCGAGGGCCATCACCTCGGGGGTGGCCGCTTCAGTATCGGCGGCCGGTTGAGAAGATAAAGAGGTAACTTGTTAAGGAACGGTTTTTGATGTTTTGCCATTGTCATATGGGAGAGAGTTTGAAAATTTTAGAAATAAATATGAAGTTTTGAAAAAAATGAATTTTGAAGACGAAGTGCAGGGTACGAAGATTTGAAGAAATTTTGGATATGAATCTGGAGATTGCTATGAAGATTTAAGAAGATGGACGAAGATTTGAAGAAGGTTTTGATAATGGTTAGATGGCTCGAAGATAGCGGTTTGGTTAGAAAGTAGAAAAAGGACAAAGGAAGGAGGCTTTTATAGGGAAACAACCGACGTATCACATTCAGAGGCAATATACCGGTGAGCGACATGTGTCCGAAGTCAGAACGACGTGATTGATGGGACGTTTCGGCTCCCCGTCGTAACATACGAAGGAAGAAACCAAAGCCATCTGTCATTTCCCATCGCTTTGGCAAACATACTCTCTGAGAAACGAGGGGACTATCTGTATACGAGTAAAACTGATCACACTGCATGACTCGACTCCCCGGTGATCACACTGCATGACTTGTCATAGACCACATTGTAACACGCATATCAAGGCAATATACTCTTATTTTCTCTGTTATTTAAATTTTTTACTTTTCTTCATTAGTTCTTCATTAGTGTGAGTTCGGGATCGAAGGCGGGCATTTTATTAAGTTATTACTGAGTCCGGGATTACTCCCCTTAATTGTTTTGACAATTTATTACGTTCTTTATCTGTTTAATCTAATGATATTTATTATTTGTATTGAATTAATCCACTAATTCTTAAAACCACATATCAATTCAATTGTTATCTATTTTTTAGGGTAAACAATAATTATTGTGTCATGTAATTCTTCCTTACTAGCCAACCAATAATTAACCTTATCCACTCATTTGCATGACAAAAGAAAATAACAATTGAAAATGAAGTACTATATTTTATCTTCTATACTTTCATCCTTTGATATTACTAGGGGGTCGTTTAGTATGATATATTAGAGAAAATAATACATGCATTAGCTTTTGATATTACTATTCCCTTGTTTGGTACATTTTTCAACTTATGTATTATTAATTCAAGTATTAGATATACAACTTGTTTGGTATTATCCTATATATAACTAATACATAACAAACTATGGTATTAGCAATACCGAGATTATTCATGCATGCATTAGCATGGTTAAAGATAAAATTGTCCTTAAAGTTAAACAATATGGAGGGTATTTTTGTAAACAACTAATTTTCTTAAAAATTATGCATTGCATTTTAATTTTTAATACACCACACCAAACAGTGGATAGAAAATAATCTCTGCATAACTAATACTTGCATTACTAACTCATGCATTATTAATTTCTGCATTATTATTACACCTTATTCAGTATTACTCTTATACATTCTACCAAACAAACCCTAATCTATCACTATTACAAAAATAGTCTTCTAATTGTCCCCACAAGTGTGTCCTCGGTAAAATGAGTTTTCATCCCCGTGGCCACTTGCTTATCTATTGGTTTTTCTTTTCGTGATTGAAGAGGACTCGTCCCTACGCCTATGATCGAGACACTTGCTAAACAAAATATAGAAATAAGTGAATACCAATCGTATAATTGAGTACTCTTATGGAAATTAAAATTTATTGAAAGCGATAGGCTATCATATCATATCAATATCGCAGAGAGATAAGGGAAAAGAAGAGGAAACAATCCAACGGTTGACAGACAGCCATCCGCGGAGGCCCGGAGCCGCTTTCGCCCCAATACTTTTGGAATCTAACACAACCACACAGCGCACAACCCCCCCCTCTCCTCTAAATCATTTTGATTGCCCTGAAAATTTTTAGGCAATCCGGTTTCGGGAATTCGGGCCCACTCGAAAGGCATGGATTATAGCATACGAAAATATGGGAATCGGACGAAATTCTAATTTTTTGGTCGTAAAACGCAAAACAACGAGGAACTGTCATGGCAGGCGGTGACTATGGTTCCTTAGGTCGTATTTGATGGCCTGAAAAAATTTTAGGCGATCTAGGTCACCGAGGCCCGGCACACTCGGAAGGCGACATGAAAATATGGGAATCGGACGAAATTCTAATTTTTTGGCAGTTTTTTGGCTGTAAAATACAAAAAATGAAAATCGATCATGACGGACGGTGACTATGGTTCTTTAGGTCGTATTTGATGGCCCGAACATATCTTAACTCCACACCCAACCCCAAACTTTAAAGCTAACACCAACTTAACTCTAGTTAACTAAAGATGTCTGCACGAAAGAAATTCATTCAAAAGAAAAAGGTTTTGTGTTATGAATTAACTTTTATATTGAACAAATTAAATTTAATTTTTATAAAGATTTAACTTCTATCTACTATAATATAAAATAAAATTATTTTATTAGCATGATTTTTAACATGTTATAGTGAATTATCTACTTTATTTTTCAGATAATTAGTTTTATTTAACATGACCTTATTGTGCAAAAAAAAAATTGTTTACATCAGCGGACAAGTTGCGCTCCTTTTACAATGCAAATTACTTCACATGTTAAGTTTTTTGCACTAACGAGATGCAACATATTTACCCAATCAAATTTTTACAATTAGCTTAACTTGATAAATTAACGTGGTATAATAGGTAAAGCTTGTTAAACCACCTTAAAGATAGATCTAGTATTTAAAGTCATCAACATAACTCCACATAATACGTGTGAATTGATTTTCTGAAAATGAGATAATGTAAGTAATTTTACAATAACAGTATGATTTAATTAGTTAGAGCAGATTACTTGCTCTCTGTTTTAGATGTCAACCCATTGGTATTAAATATTACACGTAGTGTTTTATAACACATACTACTATAATACAGAGAGTGCCGAAAAAAACTAACAAAAAGAAAAGGTGAAAAACTTGAAGCCGACTCTTTCTCTCTCACCTCTTGTGTTTATATATAGACACACTTCATTCTCTTTTCCCTTGCCTATACTCTATATCTTCTCTACTGTTTCTACCCAAGTTTCTGTTTCTTGGTGCAAAAGTATAGGTACCCTTTGTCTCCTTCTTCTCATCTTTATTCATGCCCTGGTAACCATTAATATAAAGGCTACATCTTTTTATTGTATATCCAAAATTCCAAACAAGATAACAGGAAAACAAAAGAATGAGTTGCAATGGTTGTCGAGTTCTTCGAAAAGGATGCAGTGAGAACTGTATTCTTCGGCCATGTTTACAATGGATCGAAACTGCTGAATCTCAAGGCCACGCCACCGTCTTTGTCGCTAAGTTTTTCGGCCGTGCTGGACTCATGTCCTTCATTTCCGCTGTCCCTGAAAACCAACGACCTTGTATGTACTTGGTAACCTAGTTGTCTACAACTCTCTTGTTCATTAATTTCCTGAATATTTATTTGCTTATAAACTGAGATTTCGTTTGTGTATTTGCAGCTTTATTTCAGTCCTTGTTATACGAAGCTGCTGGGAGAACAGTGAACCCAGTGAACGGAGCTGTAGGGTTATTATGGACAGGCAATTGGCACGTTTGTCAAGCGGCGGTGGAAACAGTCCTCCGTGGCGGCGCGTTGCGGCCAATCCCCGATTTTCTCGGTGCTTCACTAGATATTGATGAGGGGTCTGAGTGCACCGACGTATTTAAGCTTGAACATCCTAGTCAAAACAATATGCAACCGAAGGTGCAGAAACGACGCCGTTTTCCAGAGGAAGCTTCAAAAGTATTACAGTTGGCGGATCTTGATCTAAGTTTAACACCAGGTTTTCAGAGTCGGAAGGTTATTAGTCACGCTTTGCCGGAGAATCAGCGACCGGGAACTCCGTCTATGAATTCAGAAGAATCTGGAACCACTACGTGTTTTGAGAGTGGTACTGTTACTGGAAATCAGCAAGGAAATGAACCGAAATTACTCAGCTTGTTCAATTAGGTGGCTGTAGTGTTTTTTTTATTAACCTTAATCTTTTGTTAATCTTTTTCCTTGTTTTTTTCTATGGGGGGAGGATTTTTCCCGGAAGTAAATTCCGGGAGAGTTTTTGTTAATCATTGGCACAGGATTTCCCTTCTTTCAAGCTTCTTTATTATGAACAGTTGAAAGGAGGGGAAAGTGAAAGTTCGCCAGTGATTCCTTCCTTAATCTTTTCTTGTTCTCCTTATTGGTTTTTTACATTTTCTTGTTACATAACGAGTCTAATGAATGTTGGACATGAATAAATTGATTGCTTATCTTTCTTTACATTGTTTCGAACTGTAATATTTGGATGATCTGAATTCGATATTCATGTGTAAAACAATTAATATATAGTAGGCTCTCTTAATTCATAATTCATGACATTTAATTTAAGATCTGCTACTATTGGTACGTGACAATCTCACTAAGAGAAGATAAAAGAACATACACCAGCTTATGAACATGTTAATTAATTAACGTGAGAAAAATGGGATGGTGATGTAAAGGTCAAGATACTTGATTTTTATGGTTTAGAGGTTGGCAAAGGTCCTAGTTTAGATAAGATTTTGGACTTAAAAAATATTTCGACACCATCATACTCTTAAAAGAAAACTTGGAAGCTATCTAGTGCTTCATTCATCATTAAGCTAATACTAATTTTTTTTTGTATAAAGCCCACAGCTGACAAGGTAAAAGGTTGTGTAATACTTTGATCATTCTAAAGCTAAGGAATTTTAAGAGAATAAAAAGAGGTAGCTTCCTTAATTTGTGGTTGGGAGCTCCAAGTTGGTAGGGGGAAGTAGTCAACAAAATTGACCTGCCCACGTAAATCTGAAGTAGAGTACGTGGAAACAAGGTCATACACATAGTTTTGTTTTTCATTGGGTGGAATCCATAGTTATCCAAAGTTGAGGTAAGCAAATATTAATGGAGTTATTATTGTAAACAAAAAGGGACAACAAGTGGGTATGTTTTTGTGGGGCGTGAAAACCTGGAAAATAGGGGTTGGATTTTGCGAATCGGAGAGAGGCGGCTTTTGGAGAGCGTTAAGAGGCGTAGTACGAATACAACTACTATACTAATCTACTTGCGTAAGATTGTGAAAGAAGAATCAAATATATGTGTGTTCCTCTCAGTAATAAATAAGAAATGGAGCCCACTATAAAAGTGGGACATGGCCCCGGGAAGAATGGAAGCAAGAAGTTTGCAGTTTCTCCGTTTTTTTTCAGTCAATTAAAATGAAGGCGTACGGTCCATGTCAGCCTCGAGCTGGCATTGTCCCCTTCTTTTTCTTCCTTTCTCTTTACTTCTTTTTAATTTACACTAGTGAGAGAAGTATGCCTTCGTGTGTGTGAAACCTCTTTTTTTATCTAACATATTTATAGATTCATGTTTTACACTTTTGTGTCTACAAAATTCATAAAATTGTGAGACAAAAAAAAATATCACACAATTAGTGTCATTGTATGAAGTACAAAATAAAATTTTTTCACTAGTCACGAAAATTTAAGAATTTTCTTTTTAAAATTTATGATTTAAAATAAGCTATAAATAATTGTGCAAGTAAAAATAAGAGTAATTTATTAAAGGTAAGCTATAAATACTGCCTTTTAGAAGTTTTTTCATTCACAAGGATCAAGTTTGAGATATTTGATTAAAACCCACCATATCTTCGGTGGCAAGAGGAATTGTAATTATTTTATAATGAAAGTTTGAAAGGGAATTTATGAATATTTAGCCTAGTCTCTATTATCAACACATAAAACGTTAGCGATGTCTTATACGTAGCCGTTCAGTTTAAAGGAAGATTATATAATATTAGAAAGGTGGAGGGGAAGGTTCATGAACCAGAAGACTTGCATAGGAGTATTTATTTAGTAGTATCCTTTGTTACAAGTTACAAAGCTGCCTGCGCCTCGCCGCAGTTGCAAAAATTCAATGGCCCCACAAAAGCCTAATTCTTGGGCTACGTTTCCAATTCATGCTGCTCTTGGCATGATCGACATCATTTACTTGTAACCCTCTAAAATTAATTAATATATAGTATAAAATAAAGCAACAAGGTATAAAAGGAATCTAATCTCTAAATTAATTAATGCATAATCGACAGTTATGCATGGTAATCGCCATGTTTCAGGACTAACGCGAGTATTCTTCCAATCTAGTGGTTGACCAAGTCAGCTAACTGCTAACCCTTGTGTTTGTGTTTTTCGTATCAACAATTTAACATAGTACATTAAATATTTTTAATTTAATCTATACAAAAAAAGTGTACAAGATTTTTCTTTTTTACATTATTACTCTAACTAGTTATAAGTATACGTTAACTAATTATAATAAGTGATCTGGGGCGGAGGTACAATGCTCGATGTGGACCGGGTTTGCCCGAATCCGGTAGCTTTTGTTCAAATCATGCATTTGTCTTAAAAATTCATTGAATATGTACAGCTTATTAATTTAGAACCAAGTAACTTTAAAAGATTATAATTTCAAACCCATAAACTTCAAATCCTGGCTCCGAGACTTTTTTAGTAATTTGTCTTATTTTTCAAGGAATTAATTCCACTTTTTATGAATATCAGCCTATAATTATCTTTTTACATAGTTGGTTTGATGTAAAAATTTCTTTTATATTGGAGTGTGTAAAAGTACTCAAATTACATTTATATATGGTTTGGAGCTTCTCGTGCTGCTTCCACCAAGCTCTTCATGTCCTCATGAGTCATGACCGTTTCCACCAGCCAAGTGTGAATTAACTCTATAATTATTTTATTTTATTTTTAGTTCGAATTCCCTTCCTCTCGGAAAAGAATAAGAAAAGCAACTATAAATCAATCAGTCAAAAAATCAATAACATTTAACTACTTTTGTGAATCGTAAAACTATTGCTCTTCCTTTTATATGAGGCTACAATCTATTATGGGAAACTTGCACGGCAGAGTCACCAAGTAACTGTAAGAATCCAAAAAAAGCAATAACTCCAAAGTGAAGACTGCAAAACATTGTTTCCAAAATGATACTGAAACTGAAATACAAAGATATTGCCATGGGAGGAGCGGATTGTGTTCCAAGCGCAAGAAACAAAGCCACATGGGCGTGAAAGAGGAATATGTGTGTTTATCCGAAAAACGGATAGAGTTAAATTTATACGCAATTCTAAGGGTACATGGTATAACTTGGTACAAATCAGAAAAGTAAGTAAAAATATGTCGAATATTGATTGTAAGAATGAAATACAAACCAAATTGAATGGAGAATGATTTATATGTAAAGCTCATAAAGGATAATCTCTACTGTATTTCTTTGTGAATATCAATAATATCTCCCCAAATAATAGTCATCCCTCTTATAGTGGATAACTTAGCTTCAAATCTCATCTCGATATTATGAAGACGCTCTTCGGTCCATTATGTTCCAATCTTGACCAATCACACGAAGGTCGAAACTGTTTTTGACCGTATACAGATAGTCCCCTCGTTTATCGGGAAGGATGTGGCGAGAAATGACATGATTTTTCAACGACATGACTAGATATACACTGACGTTTGCATCGAGCCCGACCATGAAGTACGTGATAGATGTCCCGTCGGTTCAGTTACCAAGGCATTAATTGCGTGTCAGGCGATGGTCGGCCATTGTTGATATTGAATCGTCATTGCCAACCCTATAAATAGCTCATCTTTTTACTATTTTTTACTTTTACATCTCCAATCTCCGAATCTTCTAAGTTCTTTTTCGCATCTTCTGAGTTCTTCATCTGTAAATCTGTGATTTTTACTGCAAAATCCCTCTTTAGAACACCAAATCTTGTCATCTTTCTCTATATTCAATCTTCAAATCCAAATGGCGAAAACGTTAAAAATCGTTCCTCAAAAAGAAAAAGCTTCTTCTTCGCGGCCCGCCGACAACAAAACACCGGTGAAGCCACGACCCGAGGAGTGTGTTCCCAGAGGGGAGGGGGGGTGTTCTTACCTTTAAGATCGACAAAGCTTCGCTGGTTCCCGATCGATGCGAGCTAGTATCTAGGTACATGTGCTCGATAATTGAGGGATATCTTAAACATGTAAGGAAATATTGCAACTGGGAGAATAAAGAAGTGATAATCCCGGCTACCGAAGAAGATATTACTACTCATGTGAAAGGGTTTTTAAGTGTTTATACTTACCCTTTCACGTTGGGCCCCCTTGACCAGTTGTCATCTATTTTTGCCGCTAATACCAAACAACCCTAGGCCAAATCCATCATTCTTTTTGGCGGATCGTTATTTTGATCCGCTTCTTCGTGAACAAAGTCGAGGGGATGCCCTTCACCCTTGACCATCTCATCAGATTGTATAGTCCCCGCCTCTATCGAGGTGGGTTAATAAAACTCCAACGCCGGGCTAACAAAGTACTGTTCTCGAGCATAGACGAGGACAAGGACCGAGGCTGGATGGGTAGGTTCGTTCGAGTGAAGACAGACCTAATCCCGGTCGAGAAGATGCCATTTTCTGAGGAATGGAACATGAAGCTTAAGTATAATTCTACTGTTAGCTTCTATTGTTTTGCTTCTTTGTTTCTTTCTCACCGATATCCTTTTCCGTGATGTAGCAGTTGCTTGGATGCCCAGTGCTATTCCTAACCTTAAGAGATGGGTATGGGACCTGGCTTCGACCTCCACATATGCCGAGCGCTCGTGGCGCGACTTATCAAAGGGTCGATGGGAGGCTAAAACTCATGGTAAGCCTCTTTCACATATCTTCACAATTCGAACAAGATGTTTTTTTATACTTAACCAATTTTCTTGTGTGTAGGCCTGGGCAAAGATGCGGTCATGAGGCCCCCGTCTGGCGAGGAAGAGACTTCGGCCCCAGTTCCAAAACTGGCGAAGGACAACAAGAGAAAAAAGGCCTCTACTTCCGAGGATCCAAAACTTAAGACAAGGACGGCTCGTAAGCCGAGGAGGAATACCATCCCTCTAACCGAAGAATCTGTTCGGCGTCTAAGGGATGAAGACGAAGAAGAAGAAGAAGAAGAAGAAGAAGAAGAAAATGAAGACTCCATACTGGTAGCCCGAGTGGAGAAAACCATCGATGCCCCAAAGGCAGCTGGGTCGATGGCGGTTGATGAGGCTCCGTCTCGAACTGAGGGGATATCGGAGAAGGACTCGGGCAAAGTCCCCGAGTTGTTGGAGATCGAGGATGCCTCCCACCGAAATCAACAAACTGTGGGTATATCTGAAGGGGCAGACCTTGAAGCTCTTCGAACTGAGGAGAACGCCCCAAGCGACTTGCTTGGGGAAATAGT